AATAAAATTTTAAATTTATGACATGATAGAATTTATTAAAAAAAAATTATATCTTATAAATTTTTTGTAATACACTTATGTTCTTATATAACTTACTTAATTAATAATAATAATAATAATAATAATAATAATAATAATAATAATAATAATAATAATAATAATAATAATAATAATTTAATATTACTTTTGTGGAGTGACGATGATACCACCATTTGCATTACTTCAAAGACAATATTTTTTATCAGATTGATGACATAAAAACTTCAAACCCCACAAACAAAAATGAATTAACGTTAAAAAAAAAAACTAAATTAAATGACTCCACAAGTAAATTTAATGTATTATCTTAAGGCAATGAAGTTTTCAATCCACAACTTCCAAAACTAACAATATCAATATATACTTCTTTATCTCCACTTGAAATGATATTATTTCTTCTCTAAATCGTCTAGAACACATTTTTATCACTGAATTCTTATATTATAATATTGAAGAAGAGAATATGAGAAACAAAAATTACTTTATATATGTTAATATACTAATTGTTGTACATGAAAAAAGTTTAAATATAAAGATACCTAAACTAACTGTTAATACAAGGAAAAACAAAATAACAGTAAACTGAAAAAGAGAATATAATATATATATATATAATTTTATGCCAAATAATGGAGATAAGGCTCTAATTACCTTTAGTTAAAATTTACCGTCAATATGCAATCTATGTTGTGCTTCAAGCGGAAAATAATACTTGGACGGTTACATGTATTTCTCCTATAAAACAAGTTATTAGTTGTCTTCTTGTGTACGATGGTTATTCATGCTCCACGCAATTGTTATATTAAAATTGTGATGCGAGTTTTATGTTATGTTTAATTTTTTTAACAAAACACTGGCACAAGAAGACAATATAATGAAATAAGAAAGCAAAATAAATATTTATGAGCATAAGTGTTTTCTTCAATGCACTTGAAATTATTTGAATGCGTACAAATACAACAATCATACTAAAGGTTTTCCTTCAAGAGAAGCAATCCATGTGGATCATAAATAATGAATTATTGTGTATATATATACACATCTTCGCATGTTCAGAGAGCCATGTGATAATGTACATTTCCTAATGCGATGAATACATGTAAAATTTATCTGTTAGATCGTTTTGTAAAATTATTTATATTTGGTTAATAGCATTAGAACATTTACATTGATAATATATTTACTAATTACATTGATGAAATTTGTTTTTAAGATTTATAAAAAATAAAATATACAAAATTAGAATCGAATTCTTTGTAATTATACAAGAGGGTTAAACAATCCCTTTCAAGGTGTACAACTACTTTTTTGTGGTTTCTTAAATAGTTGAGAAATTCACAAAGAAATAGACCTAACATATCTCTGAATAGTCCACAACAGATACCCAATTCAAGGAACAACGCACCTCATAAGTAACTAACCATCCATATGTTTTTTGCAATTCAGAAAGACACTGAGTGGGTCACCATACTCTTTACAAAACACACATCATTGTTTAAATCAAATCTACCATTCTACGTACCGCAAACATCATAGTTTTCAATATTATACTATTTCTTTTTGGAAATGCATTATTCACACCACTTTATTCAAATGACAATTGAGTCCTGATTACATTTACAAAAATGACAATTGAGTCCTTCTTTAATCAAGAGATGATCTTCCTCCAACATATAAATACAAGTAATGATCTTCCTCAATGGTCGCAATTTTAAATTGAAATGGTCTAACCTAATCAATTGTTATGATTTATATTATATTATATGATGTCTTGTTATAACTACCAACAGACTCATTTATAAAACATGTCCTAACCATATATTTAAGGTATATTCAATGTGGATATATATAAATTTTATTTATGTATTGTTGTTAAAACATATATACATTTTGTTTGGATGCACCACAACTTGGTGGAGGTATCTGACAGCATAAGATAAGATAAAGGTTGAAAGATGTCATAAATTGAATCTCAGCTTTTGCCAACAACAATGTCCTGCTATAAACTAAGTTTTAATGACTTATCCACTCTTATGTCCTCTACGTGGAGGTCGCGTTTGCATTACCTATGACATTGTTGGAAGTTATTCCCTTAAAATGGTAAAAATAATTCTAGTAACACTTACAAGTTGTGTTTTTAAAATATTATTTTATTTTTAAATTTTTATAATTTAAAAAATATTTGATTTTTTTTTATTTTTGAATATTAGAACATTACAATATATTATTTGTATTTATCCAATTTTGATTAAAAAAACATTTTCCGTATGTAATTTAAAAATATAGGCATTTATTTACACATATAACTATCAATAAGCATTTTGAAAATTTAAAAGAAAATATATATGTTATAATGAACAATAATTACTATGTATTTATCTGATAATATTTTAAACTAATGAATACTTTTTATAAATTTGTTCATAAAAATATATTTATATTATATGTATTTATGTCAGTATTTAAAATCATGTTATTTGCTTTTTTTTTTTTTCAAACATGAGCAAATTTAGAAAATATGTTTGTCTTGACTTCTTATTTTAAATTTTTTAGATATTAAAATGATTGTTTTTTTATTAACTATTTTTCATTAAAAAATTGGTCAGTTTTTTTTATACAATTTAAAATAATAAGAATATATTATAGATTCTATTAATGAATATTTTGTACATGAAAAGAAAAAACTACAAGAACAGAAAATTGTAATATACTTGTAAATAATGAACATGTTAAAATTTAATAATAAAAAATAATTATGTATATATATATATATATACTAATAATAATATTAAATCCTTAATTATGTAAAATATCTGCCTATAAATTTCTGTGTCAACTATATAATATTATAACCATCATAATAAATATATAGATAAACTATAAATTATAAACATCTATATAAGTTTATATTTATATGTTTAAGATTGGTATATGTTAATTAAAAACATCAAAGTAACACTAAATACAGATTTATATATTTTCTATCTGTCATTCATTAACTCTTATTAAAGTTATTTTTAAGTTAGAGATGGAAAATATTAACTAATATACTTAAAATAACAATAAAGAATATTTTTTTAGAGAGATGATTTATTTAAGTATTTTGTTTGCTATTTAATATAAATAAGTAATTTTTTTTAACATTGTATTTTTATTAAAAATAACTGTATTTTACTTAGAACTTATAATTATTTTCTGTATATTATTTTTCATATTATAATATTAACTCAATATAATTTTTTTAAACATATTATGAGAAAAATTATCTCTAATATATAAAATAATAAAGTACATTTTAAATTTTAGAGTTAATAATTATCATATATTATGAGAAAATGCTCGATTGCTTTAATACAATTTAAAATAATATAATCAAATTTATAAAATTAATTTTTTTAATATTATTTATATAAACATAAATATTGTATTTTTAATAAAAAAAATTATCTTTATTTCACCTTTATAATAGGAGAATAAAATATTTTTATAATTTTTTTATTTTATTAGTTGAAATTCTAGAAAGTATGAATATTTGATTTTTGTAAGAATCCACTTAAAGTAAGCTAAAAGAGTAAAAATGTTTTGGGAATAAAGCTTAAGTTTTACTATATACATAAAAAATTATTATAAATAAAATATTTAACCATTTAAATTTAACCATCATTTCTTTGTTCATTTTAAAAAAGGAAAATATATGATAAAATTTTAAAGGATTGTACTTACTATTTAAGAACTAGTTTATTAAATATTTTTTTTTCAAAATCGTACTATTATTAAAAATTAAAAATTAAATGAAATTGAACAATATTATTGATTTTATTGAAATATAATATTATTAAAAATAGTTATAAACTAATAAATAAATATGTGCAATTATATTTGTCAAAAATAATCTTTAAAAAATAATTATATTTTATTTACAATATATATATATATATATATATATAATTTAAAAAAAATATAATAAAAACTTATTGCTGTAATATTTAATTACAAAATGGTTAATTATTAATGAATTGAAGCTAAATTAAAACTATAAACATTATTACAATTATATAATTTTTTATAATATATTTTTATTTAAAATTTTTATTATAAAATATTTGAATAATTTAAAAAATAATTTAATATTTTATAATAAAGAACAGAAATCAATCTAAATAAAATTAAAAATATTAATTTAGTTTGATTTAAATTTTATATTACATTGAAACAAAATCTACCTAAATATATTTAATTTTTAGATTTGATTTAGATAATTGTTTATTAAAAAATGGAATCTAACAAATACCCTTAATTTATCCCAATTTAACTAATTTAAAAATTAGTAAAAACTATACAATGTAGCGTCACTTAAATATTGATGACCGGGGGAGGCAAAATGAGGAGTATAAAAGGTTGCTAAGTGAAATCAGGGCAGGAGCAGCAAGTGGTTTCCAAGCAACAATGACAAATCACCTTATCGACCGTTGGATCGTCATCATATAAGGGTAAAATGGTAAATATGACACTGCGTAACCATGACAATCTCCGTTCCCTAATAGTTGAATAACACTTCACTTTATTCCTCGTTACCACCATTATATATTTCAAGCACTAAGATTTTTTTAATCGATAGGAAAATTACACTATGCTCTCTGACACGTGTGCACTAAGTAGAGCAAGTAACAATAAGAGCGCGTGTAGAAACGGTTGACGACCCTTGCGCTTGTCTCTCTCACGGCTATTAAATGAGGGTCCTCTAACAGCACGCAGACACTATGCTATACTTTAACTAAGGCACCAACTCATCCTGTGTAGAAGAAGAAAGAGAAGGTGCATCCATTAATGCACACTCTCGAGTCTCAACTACCTATCTAACGCTAAAAAACAACTAGTAGAAAAAGAAGAGCTGTAGGTTCCATCCCCAATTACACTCACCGCATTCTGAACTACTTTTTCAGTGGCGGTGGGAGGGCACAATGTGGAACTCCTCGGAGAACGCCTTTGCCAGATCAAACTCATTCAGGGAGGGAGGGGAAGATGAGGAGGCTCTGCGCTGGGCCGCGCTGGAGAGACTTCCTACTTATAAACGAGCACGCCGAGGAATTTTTAAGAATCTCACTGGCGACATGAAGGAGATTGACGTCAGAGATCTTCAGTCGCAGGATCAGCGTCTTCTTCTTGAAAGGCTTGTTGACTGCGTGGATAATGATCCGGAGAGCATCTTTCAGCGCATGAGAAGCCGATTCGACGCGTAATCTCTCTCTCTTGCTACAAAATTATAGAGTAAATGAATATCAGGACTTGCTATTCAAAGTCAGTCGCGTTGGAAACATCCGTGTTTGTTCTTCGCTTACAGCGTCCGAATCGATAGATTGTTGTTTCGGCTCCATTTTTCATTTTTGCTTTAGCTTAAATATTATGATAATGTAGGTGGCTAATTTATTGAATGTGTTTTACTGGATGCTGGACACCGCAGAGTAGGTTTGGAGTTTCCGAAGATTGAAGTTCGATTTCAGAAATTGACAGTTGAGACTTATGTACATGTTGGCAGCAGAGCTCTGCCAACTATTCCTAATTTCATTTGTAACATGACGGAGGTGTTTTTTTTTTTCTTTTATTTTTTAATTTCATTTGTAACGTCTTCATTTTTCCTGTTTGAGGATGTAGTTCTGATATCACATGTTTTGTGCGTAGGCTCTTTTAAGGCAGTTGCAGATATACAGAAGAAAGAGAAGCAAATTGACAATTCTAGCAGACATCAGCGGGATTATTAGACCTTCCAGGTCAGTGTTTAGAAGTAATGTGGTAAAGAAAAATATCCATGGTCAGTGAGGTTGTAAATGAACTGATAGGATACTATTCCAGATTCACTGTTATGTTCCATTCAAAGCTATGCATTTTTTATGTTTTAGTCTCTAAATTTAATAATGACAAATTTAGACCCATACACATGCGTTTTTTATTCATTTAATTATTATTTAATATATATATATATATATATATTTATTTAAAGTAAGAACTAAAACAGTTAAAACAAATGCACAGAATTAAAATGACTAATGTTTAGATGTATAAAGTAAAATATACTAACTATAGAAGTAACTTGTCATAATTCTTTTTATATTCGTCAACTATTTTAGACCATATGTTTTCTTTATGTAGTGCACATATATTTATTTGTTTATTACTCTTTATTATCAAGTATGTTTAAAGAAAACTTTTTCATACCAAAATTTTAATTTAAGTTATAAATAGAGTTAAATAAATAACATTTAATTTTTTTAAACAAATCAAAAATAATTTTTTAATTATACTTGCTTAAATAACAATTTAAGTTGATAACTCTATTTCTTTCATAAATCAAAACATAAATTTATAGTTTTTTTTCCTATTTTACACCACTACTCATAAACTAAAAATAAATCATATAGAAGAGTGTATAAATAAGAATAATATGATGTAAGAAGGAAATATATAGATAGTGCCGTGTTTGCATGTTCATATTAATTGCACATTAGGTAGGATTAAAGTCACAACATTAGGTCCAAGATAACCTATTTTTAGTTGACTGTTGAGCCATAAGTTCAACCTATGTTAACTGCATTTTGACAAATCAACGATAAAATGGTGACTTTATTTTTTTTTGTCTCATTCAACTGCCAGTCCCATGCAAAGAAAATTTACATGTATAAAATCCTAAATTTTACTAATCAGTTTTTGGTATAATAGATAAATTGATTAAAAAAAACTTTTATTTTATTTAAAATTATTGAATATTTACAATTTTATTTTCCTATGGTTCATGCATGTTGTTACACAGGCAGACAAATATATCACTTTCGTGTATTTTCTTTGGGAAAAATAATATGACATCGGGACATGAGATTCCAAATCGTTGTCATAAATTAAATGCTATTTTAATAATTATTTTCAAAATCTAATTGTAAATTTTTTGCATTTATTTGACAGACTGTGATTTTGTTTTTCTTGTAGACTAACATTGCTGTTGGGTCCACCAAGCTCTGGAAAAACAACACTACTATTAGCTCTTGCTGGTAGGTTAGGACCCGGGTTACAGGTACTAAGTTTTCCAATTACATTGACAGATTAAACTGGATTTTTTTTATTATGTCGAATCTCTTAATACCGTGTTAACAGTACTGAAAATTCTTGCCAGACAATGTGCTGTTTAAGCTTAATGCTTAGTACACATAGATTGCTTGGAAATTGGAATTAATAGAAACAATCTTAGGAAGTCACAAGTCCTAACCATGGGTGACTCAATTCCTATGCTTTTCTGCACTTTGTTTGGAGTTATCCATTCAAGAGTTTTTTTTCTTCTTTTTGTGCTATTATCCATATTAGAGTTTGTCCATACATAGCAGGATTTAGTACTGTACAAAACTTATCAGTGTTGCTTTCCTATTACATTTAAAGTTTCAGCTGTAATGAAAATAAAATCCTGTCCACTAATATTGTAAGTTTGTATAGTAGTAATTATTAAAGTATTTATTTGAATGGTGTAATTAGATGGGAAAAATTGAATTTTGAAGGTACAATATTTTTTCTTTAAGTAGACAATCAAAGTTTTCATTCTATACAGTATTCTATATAGTAATCACTTGAGTATTTATTTGTACATGAAATTATTAAACGGGTAAGTTAATATCATTAGTAAAGACGAGTTATATATCCCTGTCCATTAATAAATATTTGTATGTATTTTTTTAAATATCTTTAATTATATGTATAATTTTTAAGTTTTTATTTATTAATTAATATTTATTAGATAAATTGAAAAATATTATATTTATATGTTAAAATAATTAATTATAATCAATAATTTAAACTTAATTAATTTTTATAATTTAAATTATAATATTATAATATATTTATATATTTTAATAATATAACACACAAAATATAATATTTTTAATTATAATTTTTTTATTTTAATTTTAATATATAAATATGTTTTTAAAGCGAGTCACTCCATCCTGTTCTTCCTTGACCTGTTGAATTGACGGATTAGATAGAACGAGTTAAAACAGGTTGGTGGTCTAAATTCATGAATCCATCCTGCCATTTTTTTTAGACTTAACCCCTTTACATCTATATTTGTATGATATAAGTTAATATCCAAAAATGATTTTTAAGTTAATTTTAACTTTTGTACAATGTTATTATTGACATTTTATATATATATATATATATATATATATATATATATATATATATATATATATATATATATATATATATATATATATATTAAAGAAGTAGAAATCAGATTGTCTAACTTAGATCATGTAAGTATTTATAAATAGAATTTTATTCTTCTCTTAGAAAAACAGAATTTTATTTTTTAGTACCGAGCTGGATAAAAAAGCTGATTCATGCCTTCTCTAATTGATTTATACTTGATAATCTATAAATAGCATAATTAACCAAATAGTCAATATTTACTCTACTCCACTTTAACTTAACCTTGAATCTTGGTTTCTTCATCTAATTTACGTATTTATGCCCTTTGAAGATGTCTGGGAATATTACATACAACGGACATAGTCTGAAAGAGTTCGTTCCCCAGAGGACTGCTGCTTATGTCAGCCAACAAGATTGGCATGTGGCAGAGATGACCGTGAGGGAATCTCTCCAGTTTGCTGGTCGCTGCCAAGGAGCTGGATTTAAATTTGGTATACTTTTATGTGATTGTGTTAACATGTGCTCAATTTGCACCTTTATATGCTAAGTATTAAGGGGTGGACTCTTACAGATATGTTGCTGGAACTTGCCAGAAGAGAAAAGAATGCTGGAATAAAACCAGATGAAGATCTTGATTTATTCATGAAGGTATCTTTGCAATTTATTAATTTATTTATTTTTAAATAATGTGTGATTACAAGTGTTTAATGGAGATGGAATATTTATTGAAGATCCTTTAGTGTATGTAGTATAACTCACCTATCTTTTATATTTATAAATGATGTATTTTAAGAATTATTTTTCAATTTTTAAGACATGCTTGAATGTAATATAGAATATAAGAGAAAAGAAGTAATAACAAAAGAGAAACCAAATCACTTATAAATTATCTCTTGTTCTACAGTATTATTTTGCAGAGTTTTGTAGAATCTTACTTAAAATAAGCTTTTTTTCAAGTGTTATACTAATGTCACCGACACAAAATAATTCATTCTAATTTATTTTGTAGTCATTAGCTCTAGGAGGACAGGAAACCAATCTTGTGGTGGAGTACATCATGAAGGTATTCTCTAAGAACCGTTAATCATATGCATATCGGTTTTTCTTTTGTAGTCATTAGCTCCGGAGGTTGTGAAACTTTTATGGCATTTGGATCCTGTTATTGTGATTACTCTTAAAATAAGTCATGAGAAGTTAACTACTATACTCATGTTAAAAATAGTAATATTAACATTATCCACGAGAGAATACGAAATCCAGATGTTAATATATTATGAGATGAATGTTAAATTAGAAAAAAATAAAAAGCAAGAAAAAATAACTATGGGTTGTCTTATATTCCTTACCATTTTTCAAAAGAATGATACCAAGGTCCACAAAACAAGGAAGTCCTACTAAAGAAGTAACAGACGTTAAATGATCTGAAAGTTCTAAGAGCCTGAAAATCCAGATAGGAAAAAAGATAGATAAAGAATGAGATATACCTTCTTTTTCCATAAGCTCAAATCAAACATGTCAAATGAAAAATATAGAAAATATCTGTTGGATAATTTTGTTTCGGTATTGTCTCTTAAAATATGTTAGATAAATTGGTTATTCTATCAGTTTACTACTATGTCAACTTGGTATCAACTTTTTCAGCTAATGATCTCAACGAAGATTCAAGCCACTATTATCTAAGCGTCTTACGTCTGAATTATATTGTTATTTCATTTTTTAGTTATTTTTTTTATCTTTGAACTCCAAAATACTAAAATATTTCTCACAAAGATATTAGGTTTGGACATATGTGGTGACACGTTGGTGGGAGATGAAATGCTCAAGGGCATCTCAGGGGGACAAAAGAAGCGTCTTACAACAGGTTAGGGACATTATTACTTTGTCGTGTGAGTACTTAGATGTGTTTGGTATATGCTAATCAGTTTACGTGTGATGTACAGGTGAATTATTAATTGGTCCAGCAAGAGTACTGTTCATGGATGAGATATCAACTGGTCTTGATAGTTCAACTACTTATCAAATTATCAGATATCTTAAGCATTCAACCCGTGCATTCGATGCGACCACAATTGTATCTCTTCTTCAACCAGCCCCCGAGACCTATGAATTGTTTGATGATGTTATTCTTTTGTGCGAGGGTCAGATTGTATATCATGGCCCCCGTGAAGCTTCTGTTGATTTTTTTAGACAAATGGGATTCAGTTGTCCAGAGCGGAAAAATGTTGCAGATTTTTTGCAAGAAGTGAGTAGTAGCCACTTTGGAATTTATGTTTGTGCTACATTTGATTTTAGTGACGGTGTACTTCAGACTTCAAATTTTTGTCAACAGGTTACGTCTAAGAAGGACCAAGAGCAGTACTGGTCTGTTCTTGATCGCCCTTACCGATACGTACCTGTTGGAAAGTTCGCTGAAGCATTTTCCCTGTATCGTGAGGGAACGATTTTGTCTGAGGAACTAAATACACCTTTCGATAGACGCTATAATCATCCAGCCGCCTTGGCAACTCTTAGCTATGGCGCCAAAAGGATCGAACTTCTCAAGACTAATTTCCAGTGGCAGAAGCTTCTTATGAAACGCAATTCATTTATTTATGTTTTTAAGTTTGTTCAGGTAATCCTACCTGTATAAATCCATGGTTAAAACATAAGAGTTAATGATTTTAGTTGTTTTAAAGCAATTCTCCTAATAAAAATCACCTCAAGAAAAAAATAATAATCTTAGTAGTCTCTTAAACTAAATCATTGTTTGTTTAATATATTGTGAAAATATGTTTTACTCCTCTCAATTTTTTTATTTTTTTTATGTGACTGTAAAGTTTGACTTTTTATTGGTTTTTAGATGGATGTAACTCTGAGATTTATATGGAGCTGATTTTGACCCTTATGTACATTTTCAGCTACTTTTGGTTGCCTTAATTACAATGAGTGTTTTCTTCCGAACAACAATGCACCGTAATACAATTGACGATGGTGGCATATATCTTGGAGCACTGTACTTTTCTATGGTTATTATTCTTTTCAATGGTTTTACCGAGGTGTCAATGTTAGTTGCAAAGCTTCCAGTTCTTTACAAGCACAGAGATTTGCACTTCTATCCTAGCTGGGCATATACACTTCCTTCTTGGTTCCTTAGTATCCCAACATCCGTGATAGAGGCTGGATGCTGGGTGGCTGTCTCATACTATGCAATTGGATATGATCCTTCAATTACTAGGTAACTCTTATATTCACTAAATGTTTTCGTTTATTCTTAGAGTTTCTCTTACGTGAATATTTTGTGTTCTTCTGGATTTGCAGATTTTTTCGGCAGTTCTTGCTTTTTTTCTTTCTGCACCAGATGTCTATAGGTCTGTTTCGTTTGATAGGATCCTTGGGCCGGAATATGATAGTATCCAATACCTTTGGATCTTTTGCAATGTTGGTTGTAATGGCTCTTGGCGGATATATAATTTCAAAAGGTCGAACGGGAGTATATTTTCATGTTTCTAAAGTCGATTTTTTTGTAGGGTCGACTATGCTAGCCAACCCTGTTGGGTTTCTGAAGTATATTTGGTAAATTAATTTTTCTGACTTTTTATCTAACTTTTGGGCAGACCGTATACCTGTTTGGTGGATATGGGGTTTTTGGATTTCTCCTTTGATGTATGCACAAAATTCAGCTTCTGTGAACGAGTTCCTTGGACATTCTTGGGATAAGGTATAATCCTTCTTCTGATTATAATAAATGTGATTCTTTCATAACCATTGTAACTATTTTGCTACTTGTAAAACAAGGACGATAATGTTAATTTTCTTACTGTATTAGAAATATACTCACTGTTTAATCTTTTTACAGAAAGCTGGAAATCAGACGACCCACTCGTTGGGTTTGGAAGTATTGAAACAGCGAAGTTTGTACGCAGAAAGCTATTGGTATTGGATTGGTCTTGGGGCAATGGTTGGATACACAATTTTGTTCAACGTTCTATTTACAATCTTCTTGGCTTACCTTAATCGTAAGACACGTTATTCTGCACATAAGCCCTTTGTCTAATGTTGCAGTGACTCTGGTGCTTCATAGACCAAAATGAACTTTTGTGTAGTGGTTTTTTTATGATATCTTAAATCCCTAATCTTTACTTCAGCCGTGGGAAGACAACAAGCTGTAGTTTCAAAGGATGAGCTGCAAGAAAGAGAAAAGAGAAGAAAAGGAGAAAGTGTCGTTATTGAGCTGAGAGAATACTTGCAGCGATCGGCATCAAGTGGTTTGTAAATTGTGAATTGTTTGTGTGTGTTAGATATTTGACGGTTACTAAATGGCTGGGACGTGACATTTCATCTAATTGTCATATCCTCCCAGGAAAGCATTTTAAGCAAAGAGGAATGGTTCTTCCGTTTCAACCACTTTCCATGGCTTTCAGCAATATCAATTACTATGTGGATGTTCCTTTGGTATGTCAAATGATCATTCTTTTTATTTTGCAGAATTTAATTTATGTTATATTAAATGCTAATTTATTCAATTATTGCTTTAGGAATTGAAACAACAAGGGATATTAGAGGACAGGTTACCGCTGCTTGTTAATGTTACTGGAGCATTTAGACCTGGTGTGTTGACAGCATTGGTTGGAGTAAGCGGTGCCGGAAAAACAACGCTTATGGACGTGCTAGCTGGAAGAAAAACTGGCGGAGTCATAGAAGGGGGTGTATATATATCTGGTTATCCCAAAAGACAAGACACTTTTGCAAGAATTTCTGGTTACTGTGAGCAGACTGATGTTCATTCTCCTTGTTTGACTGTTTGGGAATCCTTACTGTTCTCTGCTTGGCTTCGATTGCCTTCAGATGTTGGCTTGGAGACACAAAAGGTGTGAGACACAGTATGGCCTTTTTGCACATGATATACACCTTCTCGCATTCTTTAATGAAAATAAATAAATAACTACTCCATTCTGACTGCCAGGCCTTCGTTGAGGAGATAATGGAGCTAGTGGAGCTCACTCCGTTAAGTGGAGCACTAGTGGGTCTACCCGGAATTGATGGTCTGTCAACTGAACAACGAAAACGGTTGACTATAGCAGTGGAACTGGTTGCCAACCCTTCTATAGTCTTCATGGATGAGCCCACTTCTGGATTGGATGCCCGAGCCGCAGCCATTGTGATGAGAACAGTGAGGAATATAGTAAATACTGGGCGAACAATAGTGTGCACGATCCATCAGCCGAGCATAGACATTTTTGAATCTTTTGATGAGGTATTCTCTTTACGAGAGGGTTTTTTAAGCATTCCATTTAAGCATAGGTATTTAGAGTTCAACTTATCAATAGGCAACATATCCTCTCTCTCATTGAGCAACCAACTTTTTAGTTAAGATTATTATATTGTTGTTATACCGTAATTTCTTTCTATTTTGATTCTGCACATTTAACAGATGGCCGTAGCATATATATTTGTATATTTCAGTTTTCCTGATCTTGTCTATAATTCGAAAAGATTGATGGTTTCTAAAAGAGAGCATTTTTCTATTTGACAAAACTCCATCTTCTTTTTCAGCTTCTGTGTATGAAAAGAGGAGGAGAGCTCATTTATGCTGGTCCACTTGGTCCTAAATCTAGTGAACTGATAAGTTATTTTGAGGTCAGCTGATGTACTCTCAGCTCTTATGGTTGAATGGAGATGAAGCAATATTATTTATAATACCTATATCTTTGTAGGCAATCGAAGGAGTTCCAAAGATCAGGTCTGGATATAACCCTGCTACGTGGATGCTAGAAGTTACTTCTTCAGCTGAAGAAAACCGGCTGGGAGTGGACTTTGCAGAAATCTACCGAGGATCTAGTTTATATCAGTATGTATAATTTTTTTATGGTAAATTTTGTTAATATTTATGTTTGGTTTATATAAACATACCATGTTTTTCTTCAGATATAACCAAGAGTTGGTTGAAAGGTTGAGCAAGCCAAGCAGTAATTCAAAAGAATTGCATTTTCCAACCAAATACTGTCGTTCATCTTTTGAGCAGTTCCTAACTTGTTTGTGGAAACAAAATCTTTCTTACTGGCGTAATCCTCAGTACACTGCTGTTCGCTTCTTTTACACTGTCATCATCTCATTGATGCTCGGTACGATATGCTGGAGATTTGGTGCTAAAAGGTCCTTTCCTCTCATTTTGACTTTCTTTTATGGATCTTCTATAACATTTTGATTCATACGCTTCAAATTTGGGTAGCCGTACACTTTCTAATCTTTTTTTCATTACCTGGTACATCTTTGCAATGTTTTCTTGCCAGAAGTATGGACCTATGCCCATTTGTAAAATTTATTGAGAAAACCCAACTAGACATGAACTATCGACAGAGTCATCTATCCTCTTGTTGAATTGAATTAGTTTTATTTAGTTTATTTACGCTGTCACTGAATCTGATATATTTTCTGTTTTTTAACCATCAGACTTTATGTAACATTCATGTTTGTTAATTTTCAGGGAGACGCAGCTAGATATATTTAATGCCATGGGATCCATGTATTCGGCAATCCTCTTCATTGGTATAACGAATGGGACTGCTGTTCAGCCTGTTGTTTCCGTGGAAAGATTTGTTTCTTATAGAGAAAGAGCCGCAGGGATGTACTCAGCTTTGTCATTTGCATTTGCTCAGGTATTTTTTTCAGACATAACATTAGTTTAGAATTAGTCCATGGACATAGAAGGTTTCCTTAACTTACTCGTTATCCTACAATGTGCAGGTTGCCATTGAGTTCCCTTATGTGTTCGCACAGGCTATAATATACTCTTCAATATTCTATTCCATGGGTTCCTTTATCTGGACTTTCGATAGGTTCATTTGGTACTTATTCTTCATGTATTTTACGATGTTGTATTTTACCTTCTATGGAATGATGACAACGGCTGTCACACCCAATCATAATGTTGCCGCCATCATTGCTGCTCCATTTTATATGTTGTGGAACCTTTTCAGTGGTTTTATGATTCCTCACAAGGTATGGAAACTGATACTTCATTGCTATATTTCTGGAGAGTTACAAAAATGCTGAAAATTATAGTATAGCAGACCCATTAGAGTAATGAAATAAGCGACTAAAAATAAGCAATTCAATAAGAATAAATCCCGAATTTTGTCCTAGAAAAATTCTCAAAATACCAAATTCAATATTCGAACTAATAATCAGTAATATCAAATTGGTACTCAAATGATAAACTTTTGTCATTGACTGCATTAATTTATTTGCTCCTAATGGGCAATTAACTTCTGTACTATTCTGATGTTAAAAATCTATCATCGGATATTATAAAGATGTAAAATCTTTCAATTTATATACCAAAACGTTTTGAAGATTGTTGCTTATATAAATGACAATTAACATTGATTGTGTTCTGTGATTCTCGAGTTTTATTTAATTAACGTGTGTAGCTTTTGATTGGTTAATCAAACAATAGTTCCACCCGAAAACAAATAATTTAATTTCACATTGCCATATGACAAAATCCGAATTCCACAGATTTTTTTTTTTTCATTTTTTATAACTGCATTCTACTTGCGAAACTTGAGAGATGCACCCTCTAGGCAGATCCATTGCATACCTGGGAAACCGATTCTTTCATATTCTCTTGATACTTCGATCGGCATGGTATTTGTACGTGGAGTGAGAAATACATCATCAACTTGTGCACAAAAATCTGTCATCCATAACTTTTTCTGCTTTAATTTTGCAGAGAATTCCTATTTGGTGGAGATGGTATTACTGGGCAAACCCTGTAGCCTGGAGTCTGTATGGTCTCATAACGTCACAATATGGTGGTGATAGTCATTTGGTGAAGCTCTCCGATGGAAACTTGATGAGTATAAGACAGGTACTTAAAGAAGTGTTTGGGTACAGGCATGATTTCTTGTGCGTTACTGCTGTTATGGTGGCTGGCTTCTGCATATTTTTCGCAGTTATATTTGCCTTTGCAATTAAATCCTTCAATTTCCAAAGGAGATGATGGGATAGACTTGCTAGCTAGCTACTAGACACATTGTAACCAATCGTATGTTAGTTTTTCAATACCTCATAAAAATAAGCGTGACATCTGTATAGGGATATGATTATAGCAAAGCATGAGTAGTGTGCTTTTAGGGTTTTTATAAACTAATAAGAATACAGGGACGTATTTGTTGTAAAGTGACCTATTATTGGTTTATAAGGCTTTTGTTAGATATGAAGTTAGATTACTGGTTGGTAATTACAGATTTTTGGTGAAAGTGAATAAAATTATATAATCATTCTTATTTTTTTTCATCTCTCTTTGTCTTCTCTTTTTTCTTTTTCCTTTTTCCTTTTTCTTATAAAAAGTTATTGTATTAAAAAATTTGTGTGAACTTCTTCTCATTATATTGAGATGCCCGTGATTATAACATAATTTTAACCAAACTAATTTGATTTATTATAAATAATTTGATTAATTAATTTTTTTACCAACAAATGGTGAATGGTTGAGTCTGCATTATAACTATAGATAAATTGCATGGACTTAGAAAGGATAAAATTCATGGAATGTGACATAAAAGGAGCCAAGAGGGCAAGAGGTTATAAGACATTTTCTCCATAAACACTACCTGGTAGTCTGTTGTGACTTGTATAAATTGAGAGATAGAGAGAACAGAAAGAGAAAGTATTGCTTAGTTGCAATTACGTGCTCAATTTTTTAGCAATGAGTTCAATTTACACCACTTTGAGAACAACCCCAGCTCATGGACCGCAAGGTTCCATACGGCATCAACAGTGTGCTCACAGTACCTGATTCCCACCAAAGGGAGATATGTGCCACTGATAGATCTCTCTGACCCAAATGCTAAATCACTGATAGGAGAAGCAACAGAGAAACGGGGTGCGGTCCAAGTTATTCGGCGAGGCTTTTGAACCTCACCGTGCTCTCCGGTTTCCTGAAGTCATTACCGGCTACGGGGTGCCTCGCATTGCAAGCTACATTTCAAAAATCTTCTGTTCCGAAGGTTTCAGATTGATCAGATCTCCACTGGAGCATCACCCAACTCTGGCCAAATCGACCCAACAAACAAAGCTAATTTCTGGTATGCTCGTGAGCTTTTGCATGTCTACACAGAAAAAAATATATAACTTGTATAAGTTTGCTTAATTACAAACCGATGTGTAGAATAAATAATAATAATAATTAATAATTGGTGGTATGTCTTTCATAATTTCTTGTATATTTGATGGTTCAACTTATTTGCTCAGTTCCACGACGCAGACAACTAATGAAAAGTTGCTCCTATCGATTTTATAACCATATAGCCTGCAAATCTGCATTGCATTTGTCGTAACCCCCTTCTCCAACTTTAGTTTCTGCCTTTTGTATATGAAAAGTTTTGAAATCTGTTTATGGTATCCAAAATTAGTTTTCTCAGACAGTTTATATAAAAGTTAAACCCGTGAGGAATACCCGACATTTTTAATTAATTCACAATTAACTTTATTTGAATGAAAATTTTCTTAAAAACTTTAAAGAATTTATTTTCTTATCATTTATTTCTTTTTATATATTTTTATAAGAACATCTTTCGTTATTTATTAAAATTATTAAATAAGTATTAATTACTTAAGAAAAGATTTTATGTGAAATAATAAATTATTTAAATTTTTTTGTTAATTGATTTATAAAAATAAATAAATAAATAAATAACGAGAAAATAAATTCTTTAAATTAAAAAAATTAATTAGAACAAAATCAATTATTATAAGTTATTTAACTACGTTATAATAAATTTATGTTTTATATTTTTTTTAAAATAAAAAGTACACTGATAAATTATTCTCATCAAAGATATTTTAAATTGTTGATGAAATAAATTAATAAAAAAAATTATTTTTTCATCTCAAATACAAAATTATTTTAAATAATTAATATTTTATTTAAAATTCTCATTTCTCTCTCTCTGTATATATATATATATATATATATATATATATATATATATATATATATATATATGAGAAATAATTTATAAATACTTAAATTTAATCTTTCATTTTTAATAATACAATTAGGATTTTACGAAAAAAAATTATTGACAAGCCTCCTTGACAAAATTCTTGGTTGTTGTATGTAGTGAGATTTATTTATTATTCAACTGTTCCACTTTTGAGATACATATTTTGATGCAGTGCTGTAATGAAGGAAGGACAAACAGTGATGAATTCGAGCCTGCACTGAGTTACCTCATGCAGAATCAAACATACATGCAATTTTTCATTGGTGAAAATATTTTTTTTTGCTAAATCGCATTGATCCTCTCTCAACCAGTCTTTCAGATGGAATAAAAATATAAACACAATCAAGTACAAGGGCTAAGAACACAGAATATTTCCCAAATTTTCAAAACATTTTCTATGTTTACCACTTTCATTTTTCTATTTTAAAATCAAAGTGTAAGGGAACTTTCCAGAAGAGTCGTATGACTTGTATAGCAACGAGGGATAGGTCCCAAATCCAAAACATCCTTTTCAGTGTGAAAGAGGATGACCTACATAAAGGAACAAAAGGGGAAAAAAAACAATTGAAGTATGTTGGATGAAGCCTGATGGAACATCTATCTATATACATAGTCAACAAAAGGGAAAGAGCTGGTCACTTCCAGCTCCAGATCTTGAAATGTTTGTCATGACTAGTTGAAGCCAGCAACCCAGTAACATCTGATACTGCCAAGGAAGATACAGCCTTTTCGTGTGCATGCCTAGTCAATGTCTTTTTCTCACCGAAGTTCCACAGCTCAAGAGTCTGCAATCCACCGTGATTCCACAGAAACAAAAGTTATTTGATATGATCATTTTCATTGGTGCACAGACAGGATTAACTTTTATTTGATATGATAATTACAAGACAGAAGATAACTCACCTCATTGCAACCAATTGCCAGTAAAGGATATGAGGGATGGAAAACACAGGTATTGAATTTATTCCCAGCCAACTCGTGAATGCATTCCCCTTTGCCACCAGATCCAACATTCCATACTCTAACCAGATCATCACTAAGGGAAGCCAGATATTTTCCAGACAAGTTCCAGCATACAGAACGGACAACATTATTATGGCCCTAAAAGGAAGCACCGCAACAAAAGAGACAGAAAGATAGCATCAATGGATAAATTCCAGATTATTTTGAGAAAAATAACCAAACCAATGTTTGACACATGAACAAAACATACTATTGTTTTCAGTGAAGGCTAGGAGACTTAAACATATTCCCACCATGTAAGAAAGTCAATTCAACCATTCGATCTGATAAAAGTAAAATTAATGGATGAAATTTTTTCATTGTTTTATTTTTTCTTTTCTACTAGTCTTTCCTGAATTACTCATCCATCTTCCTTTTCCCTTCCGCTACCACCACAACCACCAACTCCACCATTTTCTATTCACTACTACCACCACCAAACCCCATAATACATCTACGTAGAATGTCATCAAATGCATAAGCCACTAACAGCCACGACTTTCCAACCTCCAAAAGAACATGCAAATCCAACTAAGGATTTTCACAGTAACCCACCCTACCATCATGAATTCAGTAAGTGCCCAGAACTTGCAAACCTGCAAGATTGCATTGTACCGTACGTTTGAAGCTGTGAGTCACAGCATCAACCCAACCAGATTTGGTTTGTTTGTTGGATCTCATGTCACTATATATATATGTGTGTGTGTGAATGATCAAATAGTTATGGAAGCTGCGATGAAGAAAAAGAGGAAAACCGAAAACCAACTCAATGAAAAGATGGACTTGCTTTCAGCCTTAATCACAATCAAGTACTACCGTGACAAAATATATTAATGTAGAAACTTGCAGTAGCGATCACAAAAGGCAAGGCAGAAAAGTATGAAATAAATAAATGGTATTGTTGAAAAAAAAAAATCATTAATGGAGTGATTTTATTCTATTCCATTTGATTCCGTTCTTTTAAGTCTATATCCAGCTCTGCTTTACTCATAAAAATATATATCAAACAGATAACAGAATTCATGTGATGTTCTGTTTCATTCAAACAAGCCTGCCAACCGCTACACAAATTACATAGAAATTAAAATTATTGACAGGAAAATTCTATTCAACCAACTGTGTATTAAACTCCCTCCACCTCTCATACAACAATAAAAGTAAAGCCATTTCCTACTAGCTGGGTTTGTTATACTAATTAAATGATGCTATTATGTTTGTCAAATAAATTCTTCAGCAATATTATTGAATGCCCTTTCTTCCTTATTATGTTTTATGCTTATCTTCCTTATTTCTAGAGGATTACAAATTCTTCTGGTCACAAAAATGGCCTTTTCCACTCAGAAGGATAGGGTGGAATGCATCCCCCAAGTTACAAAAACCAGTGGTAGGAAGGAGGAGCCTTGGGCACCTGGCCACCCTTTCAACAGTATGTTATCTCTGTTCCTCTCACCGCTAAACACTTGCTATCTTACCTCATTTACAATATCAGATGCATGTCACCCCAAAAATCAATGACAGTTTTGATGATAGAACTGTATTTACTGTATAGCCACATTCAATCTATATAACATAATGTCACTTATTGATATCCCCAAAAGTTTGAGGTAAATGGCAAAATAGTCTAATAATGGGGAGATTGTATACGTGAATAAAGAGTTGCAATCAATAGTTATCAAGATGTTCTAGCGTTGTTCATGGTTAATTAAAACTTGAGAGCAGTATATTAGAAATTAAAATTTAAAGTCAGAAATACAAGTAATAAGGGTATTATCAATAGAAAATTCACAGCTCACCTGTAATTTAAGTCTGCAACCCAGGGTTTCTACATCAAAAATGGATACAAAATTATCTACAGCAGCTGCAACAAGCCTTCCAAAACAAGGTTGAAATCTCACCTGGGTTGCACCACCCTGATAAAAAGTTGGAAAATTAAGTTATTTGCAATCAAATTACAACAATACAATGGGAATTGGGATGTGCTTCACAATTTGTTAGATTTCATACCTTGAAAACCCCAGTACAACTACCATTTTTAATGCTCCAGTATCTTATCTCACTATCATCACAAGAGCAAATAAGGTCATCTTTGCTAGGGTGAAAATCAAGAGAAGTCACAGTTGTAGCATGTCCAGTGAATGTTCGAAGAGAATAACTTGGCTGTAAAGAGTATCAACACTCCATCACATACAGCAAAAGAAAAGAAAGGATAACCTAATTAGATAGCACCTAAACTGATATAAGAAAAATCTATGATGCACCCTTTAAACTAAAGAAATGGTAGAACGTGAGAATCAATTTTTTATGTTTCACCATTTAAGTTCCCATACAAGTAGGAGCACAGGAAGAAAATTTACTTGCTATCAAACAGCATACATACATACATCCAGGAAATGGTAAGGAACCAAATCCAGGATAATATATTGACAAGTTCCAGAAATAGAAGACACCCAATCCCCTGTGTCCTCCACCTATTTCCTCTACTTTCAATCATTTATAACCATAACCTACTTCTCAGATTGATCCAACCAGATTATCATATTAAATTTATTAATAATTATAGTTTATAGCAATTCATAAAGTTGCTGAAGATTATAAATGAAATAGAAGGGTAATGAAAAAAAAGGGTTGAATGTGATTAATACAGTAAGACATGTCAGAAGTGAGATTAGACTGAAGTCATAGTAGAACAATATATTTGGTTATGGAGAATGAGAGAAAAGAAAAGACAGAACTACCAGTATATTTTCTTTTATTTGGTTGAAGATAAAAAGGAAAGAGAAGTTCACCTTAAGAAATAAAACATCAAAATTTCTCCTCCCAATTTAAATTTCATTTTTTTTATCTTCCCTTGTCTTATCTCCATTCAAACAGAGGGTAAAGGATTCTGTGAGTTCATGGTGTAAATTGTACATTGTACAAAAAAAATTCTCAGCTTCTTTAAACCAAATTAACTGCTCTTTACTTAAAATAAAATAATTGAATTTGACCAATGAAAATATTGTCTTACATTATCAACATCCCAAACCCGAACAGTTTTGTCTGCTGAGGATGTGGCAACACGCAACATATTTGGACAAAATCGAACATCAGTTATCCATTCATTGTGCTCTTCAAGTATACATTTCTGGTTAAACGATTCGGTGCACCACAAAGAAACCTACACCACACAGAAAATGATTTCATCAATGTTATTAGTTCACTTGTCAAACCAACAAATCTAGTCCAGATTTTATAGCCACATGTAACAGTATAACAAACTCAAATACTAAACAAAAGCTTCTCCATTCGACCACTAAATGCAACATTTCTATTCAAATGGAGGTCAGTTCATAGTTAACCTTGGATCAATCTAACACTTACCTTGTTATCATGGCCACCAGTAACAAGAAGTTTTCCATCTGATGAGAAGTGACAACACTCAACTTTATGCGAACTCGCCATTATATGCTTGATCTCCTTGAGGATGAATCCTAGTGTGTACAATAAACCGTTTGAATTTGAATTCTTAGGCTTTTCCATACAGTCATATAAGAAAATTGAAACCACAAAGTGTTTGTTCATCTATCAGATTTACCATACCTTTGCCAACTTTTTCTCTGATGTCGGTAGCATCAGGAGATAAGAATGACTCAATATTGTCACCCAAACATCCATCACCCACAAGTTGATCCATTTCAGCCTGCTTACAAATAATTCACTGGGAGATAAGAATGACTCAATATTGTCATTTAGACTGTCTAGATATTTCCATGCTTAGAAACCTTATGCTACAACTCGTACCAAGAATTAAAACAATTTACAATACCATAGACAGAGGTAGAGGTAAAGAGAAAGAAAAAAAAATGGACTGTGAATTTGCATTGATTACTGAGAATTTGAGGTCTCAGCACTCTCCCAAAGTGAGTTTCCAGAATCTCACTACAGTAATATTGCTATTTATACACTGCCTAACTGGCTGACTTGTGGGTCAGTTGGATTTATTTCATTCTTAGTTCTTTTAGAGTACAATTTAGTAATACGCCTGACGTTCCTAACACCTTACATGTCCACTATAGTAATGGAACCCCAATCACAAAGATGACCAATACCCAGTAGGACTGATTTATTTACACTTAACTTCCTATGTTTTAAATTCTTGGGGGTTATGACACATGCAAGCAATTACAAATAAATATATTTTAGTCCATTATTGTAGTGTAAATAAAAAGAATTTTCATGTGACAGACAGAGAAACATTAGTTTAGTTCTCAACTAACAAGGTGCAATATTATGATACACAAACATGTTTGTGATGTTTATCTCACATCAGGCAATGCATATATTCAGTAATCCTTTAAAAATAAGTATGAAGGAGTCTCTGACCAATTGATATTGTGATGATGTCAGTGAGCCCAAACCATCAGTACCAAACATAAATGATGACTTAGAGGAAGGTGTATTCTGTTGCTGAGTTGACACTGTCATCATCTCTCCAGGTGTTTGTGTAGATGGTGTTGAAGGTGAGCTGGCAGTTGGTCCTGTGGTGTTTGCAGTTCCAGAGCTATTGCCAAGACCTGAAGATGATGCTGATTTTCGCTTTCGCACTGTTTGACTTTTAGGAGCCTTAAATACAAACACTGATTAAAAGACCTGGATATGCACTGAAGCGACTAAATACTGTAAAAAGGCAGCAGATAAGAACCTGATCGTCTCCTTGTAAGGTATTGGACACATTTCCCTCTCCCGTCCTGTTTCCAGGACCAGGACAAGGTTTTTCTTGCTGCTGGAGATTCTCAGACGGCTGGCTTGGAAGAGGATGCTGTGTATATTGTTGAAGCTGCTGACTGCTATTTTGAATTTGTTGCTGTAGAAGACAATTTAATATACAATAAATAATTTGGGTAAACCCAGAGGCAACAATTTATTGAATACATACAATGTGGAGAAGTTAACTCAAATCAGGCACCCGAGTAGGTAAGTAGGTGACCAGGTGATACCTTTAACACATCTGAGTCTGGATGGGGCAACATTAGGGAACCAACTGGTGCAGGATATCCATTACTGGGAACCAAATCATCTACAGAATTTGATTGGCCATCTTTCACAAGACCCTTGTTTTGATTGTTAAAAAGCATCCCAAGTCTTCTTCTCTCAAAATCAATGACAGAAGGAGAAATCAAATTTTGTTGCGCCTGAAGCATAAGTTGCTGCCGTAGAGAAAGTTGATCGAAAGATTGTGGAGACTGCATCAAATTATTTGGCTGGAGAATGCCAGAGCGAACCTCATCCAGTCCCTAAAATAATTACAATCAAATCATAAATTGGAATGCTTGGACAGCAGAAAGAACATTGATGTACCTAAATAATACATGTCAGAAGAAATTATAGCAATTTCAATTTAACAATGAAATCTCATATCATAAATTAAAATTTCAACAGAGGCCAATGGTAAAGTTCTACCCAAGCCAGGTAGAGAGGTTTCCCCTAACATTGAACCAGAAATCATACCAAGACAAAGAAAGGTTATACCCAATCTTCGATGTTAAAATGCATGCCAAGACAAATAAAGAAACCATTCTTATGTTGAAAAAGACAGTGTCATCAATGAAGCATGCAAAACCAGTTCTTTAATCCAACAAACATAGCAACATTGAATGACTGTGTCACGTGTTATTCTCTAATTATCTTCAAATTTAAAGTTTGAAATTTTAAATTGACAAATCAATTATTGAAGAAAGATGGATTCAGGACACCAACATATATACAGAATCATAATTTTAATTTTGTTCGGGAGAATTAGGTCAAGCTGACTCTTACTGGTAGAGGATATCCTTTCAGAGTTAAATTGCTACAACCTGGATTTGAACCTGAAATGAGAATGATCATCAAGCAAAAATCAAACACAAATTATAAAATAAAGCCATCAAAATTACAATATAATACAAATCCAAGAGATATCGTTGCTGAGGTGGCATATAAAGCAACTATGAATCCTAGTAGGGAATGCTAAATATTTCAAGATATCAAAGCTCAAATATTTGTGTTGAGGTATCTTCTCCAATAGCTTAAAAGCATAGAGAAGTCTGTGGAAAATATTGAATTGATTTAAAAAGAAAAGGAAGGCCTTTTCATAGTAATAATAAGCAGAAAAAGCATGCATCACATTCTTATTACATGATTATATTATTAATATGTCTTAAATTTAGAAAACAACAGCATGTCTTTGGATAAGTAAAGTTCCTTAATATCCATTTACCATTACAATTTTTAAGGTTCAAGAACCATACATGAGAAGATAATTGGATTTAGACTTTGGACATATACCCTTTATTTCGCATCATAATTTCTGATCTAATAACAATCATTTGATAAAAAAACTAACATTCAGTAAAATACAACAACCAAAAGCTTAGGATGCCAGGGGAAGGTCGTTTACCAAGGAAAGACTTTGTATCTCTTGCACGATGTAACAGAGACTTTTAGAAATATACTATATGTGTTTTTTGGTTTTAACCACGCCACCAATAGCCAAAGGGAATAATTATCAAATATATAAACTTTAAAAAGAGAAGACTGGTCCCTGACTACATTTTAATTGTGTAAATTGGAATTGATGATTAATTAGGAGCGAGGAATCAACTATAAATCAAATTATACAAGTGATAACAAGGAGACACATTTACAGACATTGTTGGTTGAGAAAAGAAAGGGAAAGAAAACTGGAGACATTTGAAGTAATTGGATCTAAAGCCATCCAACCGAATGGTTCAAAAAGCTTTGAATCATGACCAAAGTTCGGACTTCTGACATGTTTTTCAACAAATACCAGAAATAAATTAAAATATTCAAAGTGAAATGTTTTTTAAATTCTATTATTCTATAACACTGGTGCATCAATAAGAATAAAATATTTTGTACTTCTTTTATGTCATCTTGAAAGAACAGTTCCAAGTAACTCTTCATGAGCAGAGATATTATGTAAAATGTTTTTCAGTTCACAGGAATAAATAAAAAACTTGCACTTACCATGAAAGGCAGTGAGAATTGGCTGAAAGTTAGCAGAGACTGAATATCTTTAAAGATTTCCTTATTGAACTTACTTACCAAACCAATTCAATATTGAACTTAACAAGTTTGTCTTTAGAGATGTAACCGTCAGGATTTTTGTTAGACAGCTACAGCTATAATTGGTTGTTCGTTAGTTCTTATTACTGCTTACATCAATTAGATGAGCTTCTATAATCCATATATAACTTTTGTAGACAGGTGCTCATCACTGGTAAAATCTCAGATATTCAATACAAAGTTTTCTTTAGAGTTCATTCTTATTTATTTTCTTATAGTGAATGTAAATTTAGAAACAGCAAATCAGTACCATGACAACCAATAAAGGATCCTTCTGAAACAGCAGCTTGAGATCTCAGCAATGCATTCATCTCACTCTTTATGTCCTGTTAAGGACCCAAGACCAGTAAATACAAAATATTATAAATTTGAAATGGAGTTGTACACATGTCAAGACAATAATGTTAATCACAATTACTTGCGTAGACCCTGGAAGTTTCTGGTTCAGATTTTGAACATGTTGAATGTTCCCCTGTAAAATGCTTGGAGCACTGAGCAATGTCTGTCTGCAAGCAGAAATTTGACAACTAGCAATTCAGCCCAAACTGAGATAAGCAATTAAGAGTAAGATGACACGAATAATGAATTTTCTCATCAAAGAAAACAGTTGGTAGGTACCCTGAAGCCAGTTCACCAGATTTTCCGGCTGCTTTTAATAATTCTGCATGGTTTGGGTTTTGAAGTTGACCAACGTCATTATCTACCTTTTGCTGTATGATAAACAATACAAACAATGTGATTCTAATGATATAAAAACGGAAGGGCCTTGTCATAATCCCAGAGAGACTAGATACCTTAATAATTGCATCTTCTAAAGCATCTCTCTGACGCGGAAGCTTCAACCTGTCCTCAAATAATTTTGTTGCCATAGCATTAGAAGCTGCCTGGTTCTGCCTCATCAAAGGATCATTGCTAATAGGACAGCTCGCACTGCCACTAATAAGTTGAGTTCCACTGGGACGTTGCTGCTGTTGAGCTCGTCTTTGCAACAAGTGTTGCATGTGTGTTTGTTGACTCTGGTTTGTATTTTGAAGCTCTTGTTGTTCTTGCTTATGCATTAATCGAGCTTTAATTTGTTGATTCTGTCATTTCAAATTTAGACATTTAGTATTTATCTATACTACATATTAAACATATTGAGAAAAGGGCTAACCAGAGATATTGAAACAAGCATCTACGTCTGATTCTGACAGTGATAAGATAACTTAAGATGACAGATGTAAGTGTTCACAATTTTAATCATCTTAAAACCATACAGAAGATGATATTGCAACGAAAACAATGACTAGTAACAAATAATAAATACCAAATCATGGCTGTTACACTAATTACACCAATACACACATACACATGATTCATCAGATTTATATAAAATCATATAGGCTTGTGTACAAAAAGAAAGAGCATCAACAAGAGACACGTACTTAATCATGATTTCCATTTTCCAATACTAGAAGCAGGAAGATAAAAATTAGTATTTACTAAGTAGGATAGCAAGGAACTAATCACAGAAAGAAAAAAGAAACAAATAATTACATAATAAAAAAACACACCCTACTATAAGATACTGATGCTTCTGTGTGCTTCTGATTTGCCCTCGCAATATATATGTCCCAGAAGACGGACCACCACTCAAAGAGAAAACCACTAGGTGCTTCAATAACTGGGGCATGTGGCCAAGAGTAAAGGTCAAATTCAACTTAGAAGTACATTTGCATATACCTTATTTCAGTCTTCTAAGAATGCTTATACTATTAACTTACCAACAGGACCTGTTGAGACATTTCCTTCAGCCTGAAATACTCTTGCCGTAGCATGCAATTGTCTCTTCACGAGATAATCGTAGATATATAAATCTAACCTGTTCTCCAGCTCAAAAAATGATAAACAAGGTTAAGTAACATGTAATGAAAACTATAATAAGTTATCAATGTGATAACAATCAGATAGGTTAATTAAAATGTAATGAAAACTATAATAAGTAATCAAAGTAATGACAATCGGATATCAGCACAGTAACAATTCTGTTATTGCTGGAAAATATCAAGGCATTCCACACCATGCAAAGAACAGTTGATAACTACAGATAAATTGTCGTCAATAATTACATATTTAGGACTTGGTGAAAACAGGTTAAAGGCGAGGAGGACGTATAAGATTACATATGAACTACTTCAAACTGAAAACAACCAAAAGAAAAATTAAAGCTTGGAGTGAAATGCAGAAGCAAATAAAAGGAGAGACTAAAACACATATAATGTTAAAGTCTTGCAACACAAGCAGTTATGAATAGTAACAGAATGAAGTGTAAGAAACCCAAAAACTCAAACCAACATGATTACATAAAAATCTAAACCCTAAACCAAAAACAAGAAGGTATAAGCGGATACAGGAGCCATCAACACGGAAACTGAATGTAACCCAAATGAGAGAAATCAAATATGAAGAAGGAACAAGAAAAAAATAAATAAATAAATAAATAAGTATAGCAAATTCAAAGATTGAAAAGTTTTCCGTGCATTTTATCAGCTTCCCAGTTCAAATGAGACATGGTTTGATCTTTGAAGAATGGAAAGGTTTGATCTTGGCGATGCCCAGTGTAGTAGGTGTCTGTGTATGACTATGGTGACAGCCTCAGATAATATTTTTCCCGCTACACAGTATACCAGAGAGTAACAAAAAGTTCTCTTAGATTTTTCAGTTGTTAAAATAAATAAGTAAGTTTTTATTCTCCAAAGATTCTTATTGTATTTTATCTTTCATAGTAATAAAATTGTTTTAATTTTTCATATTTATAAATAATAAATTTACTCTCTTAAATTTGTAAAGATTAAAAATATTTTTTTGATTTAACAAGTAAATTTTAGTTTTTCAATATGAAATATCAAGTCAAGTTTTTTTTTTCAAACTTAAAATATAAAGACTGAAAATATAATTAAGAATACAATTGAATGAAAAAAATATAATAAATTTTCAGATGTTAATATTTTAAATAAAAATGTAAATTTTTCGTTTTCTTTAAATAAACCAATGTAACTCTTTATCATGAGATTAAATTGTGATACATGGTAAAATTGATTAACTGGTGCAGTAGATCAAAACTAAATTCTAGCTACTAATATGTTTTTAATAATTTGTATGAAACTAAACTAAATTCTATGAAAACATTATTCATTTTAATAATATTTTTAAATTACAATACCCCAAAATTTACATTTTACTTAAAATTTTTTAATCCATTTCCACTGTCACTAAGTTTTTTTGGGTTGACAATGACCTGAAATGCATGCAAAATAAATTTTTGACTTTTAGTATTACATAAACCATTACACGTGGATTTTGTTTGTGAATAAGGGAATACGTGTATATTACATGTTTCAGAGAGTATTATAATATTATTTTTTAGAAAATTAAAATATATATGTTTAGTTTTTATTTATTTATATCAAAAGATGAATTTTTAACACATTATAATATTGAATGAGTTGTCTTTTTCTAAGTATGCAGTGATGCCTCTTAAAAAAATTATTTTCTGATTTTCAAGTAAACTTTTTTGTTTTACTTTAAAATGTTTTGTCTTTATTCTCAGGTCACTTTCAGAGCACATTCTTGTTTCCCACGCAACAGTGTCTATGCTACTTGTTTCGAATTTCTTCACTTTCACGGGTGCATGCCTTTTTTATTTAAATATAATTTATAATTTTTTAAAATTTTAATTAAATATATAATTAGTTTGAAATAAAAATACAGTCAAATCAATTAATATCTTTATTTTTTTATCCTTTTTCAAATTAAGAGAATCGTTATGTTTTTAAATATGATCAGCATAAAGTTGACGAACCTACATTGAAAAATTAAAACTTCAAAAAATAATTTAACTTGTTCATCTCTTAAAGTATAGGATGAGTAATATATTATATATTTATAATGTATCTGAATATATTATATATATTATATAAAATATTTTATAATATGTTATATAATCAATTTATAAAATATCATATATTATAAATGAATTTTTAATTGTCAAGGGATTTTTGACACATGTAATATAGTTTTCATGCTTTTTCAAGAAAAAAATCACATTTTTGTTAAAAACGATGAATAAACTGTATAATTATAAAACAAAATTAATCACGTACAAACATCATGTATCACATACGTATTAAAATAAAAAATTTCATGTAGTGTTTGTCGTTACAATCTTATACATGTTTTTGAAATTATTGTTAAATATTTAATTAATCAATTTAATAAAATAAATTGAACAATATATTAATATGTATTTATATAAAAAAAATTAACAATTTGCATCATGTACTTTAATTTATTTTCAAAACACAAATTCCCTGGAAGCCAGGTTGTTCATTGTAACTAAACAATTTAATAAAAAAACTGATTAATATATCAATATATAATTATATATAAAAAAATATTACACATCATATGTTTTAATCTATTTTCAAACTAAAAGTCTCTTATTGGCTAAGTCTTTTATTATAATTAAACTGTTTTATAAAAAAATGGAACAATATATAATTATTATAAAAACACTGTTTCATACAAAATAACACTATACAAGTATACGACAATTTGTATGTGTATGTATAATTAAACAGTTATATATATATATATATATATATATATATATATATATATATAATATTAGAATTTATATCGTGGTAATAAATAGTGAGGTCTTAGTTATAAGTTAAGTTGTTTAGATTTTAAATTCTTATAATATCAATGTGGTTGGTTCTTTACAATGTTAATTTTAGTTTGCTTACAAATTTAACTGTTTTTAGTTTTTTTATTTATTTAAAAACACACTTTTGTTTGGTAGATGTGTATAAATTAAATTATAAAAGAAATAAATTCTTATAGGAACCAAAGTTAATATTTTAAAAACTTTAAAAGAAATAATATATTTCACACAAATTAGCTTTACATTTTTTTATTTTTTTCTTGTATATATGTTAATGAAAATTTTCATTAAGTATGTTGTTAATTCTCATCCCAAATCCTTGATGTTCTAACAAGTGCCCAGAAAAGAAAAAAAAAAAAACAACACCGACAAGGAATAAAACAATACTAGATTTTCAGTCCTTGAAGTCATCTTTGTCATCAAGGGGAATTGGTCTGTTTCTCCAAAACACAGCAAGAGCACTCCCACCAAGCTGCAAGAAAATGGTGAAAAATATTCATTGATTGAGATTAAAAACCCAACCTTTTTACAAGAAATAGACAAAACAAAACAGTGTTGAGAACAGGATAAATATCTTTATCTTACCGCCATGCAGACAACACTGACAGCAGAAGGAACAGCCACAAGGGGGTTCTTAAAGTGCTTCTGAGCAAGCAAAAACCCTAGTGCAGAGCTCTGCATATAAAAACAGAGAAAAAATATTAATGAATAAGGTTAGACAAAATGATTACGCACAATATATTACCAGGGGGAATTACTTGATCTTTGTTAGAGAGATTTATGAAGCATATTACAAGTTTAAGCATGCATTGAGAATACAAATGTGTACCACTGACACTACTCAGCTTTTCATCTGCAACACACACAATTCAAATAATTAATCTATCTGATATTTTTTTGTTCTCTCCTTGAACACTGTGCTACTCAATATCTGCAAAAAATTTAGAAACTCAAGAAACATCAATAAGCTCCTTTTAAGTGTGACTTGAAGGTCACGCCTATTCATTTAATGTGTCCACTAGAAACCATTATGTTAACCTAAGGATTAGAGGCACACCTATCTTCTACAAAATGAGATTGAATCAAGAACAGAATCCATTCACAACTCATTTACATACGGTATGAAAGAATGCATTTCTGTATGCTAAGACACAGATGAATTGATACAAAATCAACAAAGGCAAGAGGCATCTGGAAAAAATAGAATGATTGAAATTTTTTTCAGATGGACGAAATGTGTCAACCAGATAAACAGTTTAAGAGAACAATGAGATCTTATGAAGATCAGGTTTACCTGCATTCCACACTCAATAGAAATAGTGCGTGATGTGGATTCGCCAAATGATATTCTTGAAATCCAATAGCCAAGAGTAAATGCAGCAGCATGTAGGAAAACAACTGGCAATATTAATTGTGCTCCCTGAGCTTTTAATACATCAGAAACTAACCCAATCTGAAAAGTTAATGCATGACAAATTTCTGTTCAAAGTAAGAACAATATATGATAATTCACAATGAATTAAAATGCTAGCTAGCAGAGACTGTTGATGGACATCATCTTATACCACTTAGTCAACTTACTGGGCTTGCACAGAGGAGAGTGGTCAAAATGACTCCAATTAAAGGACTCACAGTGACTATCTTTGAGGTCAATTTGGGAAAAAACTCATTTGCCAAAACTGCCAGATAAAGCAATGATATTACAATCATCCTAATCTTTAGGAATGAAACCGTAAACCAAGTACAGGCATGTTATAAACCAACCAACTCACATTTAACTTAAAAGATTCATCATCTTACCTCCCACAACCGTTGGGAGTAAAACAACCTGAAAGGTACTCACTGCCAGGCCCTTCAATAACAGAATGAATTATAGATTCACTCCACGAGTGAAAATAAAAAATACAAGAGGATGTTCAACAGAAATAATGAGGAAATCCAAGAAGAGACAGAAAAGTTTTGGAAATGTAGTGAAGAATGAAAAATTATCCTATTCAAAATTCAGTATCTATATTCACCTTGTCACTTGATTAGGAGAAACTATGATTAGTACAGTCAAAGTGTCAACTATTTCAAAAGAGCTTGCCAACAGGAAGCTGGTTTTATATATTATTTAAATGAAGACTGTATTTGACATTCCTTTCATGCCCAAAATTAAGCAAGCAACAACTTACAACAGCATCAACTGGAACGAGTTGACCAGCAAGAAGCTTTGTAAGAAGTGGCATCATTATGATAGCTCCAATAGTTGAACACCTGCAGACCAGTAAATAACATCTTTAATTATCTCTGAAACCTAATTTCTGAAAAGACGGTTCTCTTAATTAACATTAATATACACCACATAATTTAATTGCAGCTAAAAATGCACAAAATGATAAAAGCAAAGGGATAACATGATTGCAATCAAGTCAAGCATTTGGTACTTGGATACTGTTCTCGCATCATTCAGATATGGCGGTTTAAAGAGGATATTTTACATTGAATTGTTTTGCCTTTAGAGATGTCTGTGCATAGGTTCTTCATGTTTTAAAATGTATATTAAGTTTCTTACATTGAACTGCTAAAATTGAACAAATCACCAGGCTCTGATTAGAGCAACATACTAATCCAAAATCTTCCGTTTCTCCTTTCAAGAGATAAGAATCAAACTTTTTGAAAGTAATTTCAACAAGGAATAGAAACTCACTTTTCCGCGTACAGGCAATTGACAAATAAGAAATTAGTAATTAGTATAACTAACTAGTGTATTCTTTAATTCTAGATTATTTCTATTACATCAATCTTTAACCAAATAAAAAACTATTTTTTCAATTTAAAATGACAAAATTTATAGATTGGATGAGATACAAGAGCCAAAAATGTGTTCTACAAATGTAAGTAGTGAGCAAGGATGTAGATAACATAAACCACCAATATTTTCTAAAAGCAACTGTAATTAGTGTATAAATATTCAGCTTCAAGTAGAACATAAAATATAAAGACAAACAAACAAGGGAATGCATGTTAAACATACGTTGTCATAAGAACGGAGAGTGCAACATTTCCCTTGGATATGAATGTTGCAACATTTGATGCCTGACCTCCAGGACAACATGAGACCAGAATAAGACCAGTTGCTAGAGGAGCTGAAAGTTTTAGAGTCTGGGAATCAAATATTGATGTTAGTTCTTACGATGAATAATACACTAGCTAATATAATAAGATAAATTACCAACTTTAAAAATTGGGGATCTAATTATAAAAGCACAAACTCTTCAGAGAGATAAACAATAACAGGACTAGTAAAAGAAGTCACAGACAGACCAAGCATAATCAGAACTACAGCCTCTACAACTATAACTGTAACATAATCAGAACAAGCATTTGCAGATCCTGCAGCCCAAAAGTTATCTGCCACTCTTAGTTAGGTTCTATATCGTTCTCCTTTAGAGAAATTAAAAATAGGATTCATACAAAAAAAATGACATCAAGAAAATAGGATTCATACAACAAAAGTAACATCAAGAACTAGCATACTTAGTTTACATTAAGCTATATGGCACCTGTATGTTTATTAAATATTGACAAAAAAATACTAGGCTTCTATTTTTAATCCTGTCATGAAAGATAACTCTGCCACTCCACTAGAATTGATAAAAATAACCTTGTCCAAGATATAGAATATGTTGGAAATATAACATAGACTTTGCCTCAGCCACAATATTATTGACAAATGACAACAGAATTAAGGAACTGACAAACAACACATGGCCAATATCATCATTTTCATAATAACAGAAAGATATCATTAATTCTTTGATCTGAAGCACTAATCAAGAGATAATATCAAATGTAGAATGTACTATATAAATCAAGTGAGATGCAAAATACTCAATTAATCATTACCATAACATAATGTTTTTGACAACAATCTCAAGAGGCAATATAGAAAAATAAGAGGATGTAACACTTTTTAATAGCTGATCTTAAACAAAGGAAAGAGACAGTGAAGCATGGATGAGCTCAGGTAATAAGAAAAAATACCATTACAATGGCAAAGCCTAGCATGGGCTTAATTAAATATTGTGCAAGAAATCCTACACCCACCTGCAAAAACAAAATCAAAAACATTTAAAAAGGATAAGAAACAAATAAATTTTCCTTTAAATATGAGTTATTGTCCCTTACAGTCCAAGGATTTCGCAGGCACCGTCTGAAATCCTCAAATGTCAATGTCAAGCCCATAGAGAGCATGAGGAAACCCAAGCCAAGAGTGAAAAAATCTTTCTCCAACCAAGTCACCTGGAATAGAGCCATAACTTCACAGAAGTTAATCAACATATTTCCTCTAAACCATGTACATAGGTGAAAAAATCAGAGTAATTACAGCAGTTGGCTTGCAAATGCCGATGATAGCCCCCAAGATGACCTGCCCATGTAAGCAGCAAACTCTCATACTACAGACCAATAAAGAAAATAGAAAAGTTGAGATGCTATATTGAAGAAGAAATGGACTCACCCACACAGGAAAAAGTGTTGTTAAGGTTTCGACCACTTTCTCATACTGGCTCAGCTCACCAGTACTTTCAGGAATATCTCCAGATATGTCTGCAGTAGCCTTGCACAATATTTGAGAGTTCCTAACATTACAACAAATAAGTCACTAGTACTTAAAATCAAGAACGAGAAAGTCAATGTTCAAGCACCAGAAAATAGATCAAAAGATTTACCAACACCAGATGCTGCTTATATGTTAATCATAAACAAATTGTTATTCCAAAACTCATCAATAAAAGCTACTTTTGGAAATGTGAAAGGTAGCATTTTTTTTTTTTCTTTTCTACTATTTCTTCTTCATAGAAATACTTCTGCAGATTTATTTTCTCAAATAATTCAGGATTTCAAGACGCCTTTTTCACATTAAGCGCTTGAGAATTCCACTATAAAACAATTTGTTCTGAGATCTAGTAACTTAATAATGTCTGCAAGGTCAATAATTTGCAAATACAAAGGAGAATTGAAGGGAAAAACGTTGACCATCAATATGGCTCATTTCATTTTTACCATAAGGAATCTAATATGCCTTCATTTTCATTATAAGAATCGAAAACTTTTAGCCAAAGGCACATATCTTCACTTGCAAATAAACCCAATCAATGATTTCATGCTCGTGCAAGAACAGCATTTGCTTTCATACAATTCATAGATGCCACCTTTCCTAAACTTGTGATTGCAGAACTTCATCCGCCCAATAATATAAACAGAAGCTCCCCCAAATACTCTCAGATAATAGCTGTAAAGTTACACACTTATGCAAATTATTTTGAGATAAGCCAAACAGATTCTAAATTCTAACATTTAGGGGGCCTACATCTATCTGGCTCCTCAAAAAAGAATTTAAATTTCATCACAGCCCGCAAGTAATGTGGCTATATCGATTCCATTCCCTCAAATCCCTCCTCAGAAGTCAACTAAGGAAAAATTAGACATTCCTTTCAGTACATGGTCATATCATGACACCTCCATCTCCATAATTCTCACAACACTCAACAGCACGCGCCACTGGTCCTATGGCTTGTATACCATTCTTCAATCAACTGAACACTATAAGAACATATTAACTTTGGAATCAGAGATTGGTTTCAAAATATTACCTTCTTCTAGACCCTTGAAGGTTTAAGGAAAATTCTAAAATAGCAACAACTGGACCCCGCAAGTCGCTTCGGATTGCATAGCTCCTTCCACTCTCAGACAGACAAAAGTGGCCTTTCACTTTTATAAAGACAAACAAAAATACGAAACTTATCAACATGGAAAAGAAAGACTCGGTGAGAAGAAAACATCAAAGAAGCACGGATCAAGCATACCCAGATGGGAATTACGAAACTTCTTCCAAATGGGAGTACGAAAGCTCGGCTTAAGAAGTGCATCATACGCCCCTAATCTATGGTCTCTGAGAATGATGGTAGACATGGAAGCCATGTTTTGCATGCAACAGGGTAAGGATCTGCCTGTTGGAGGTTATAGTTGAAAAGGGTGTGGATTCTGTTTCGTGTAGTTGTAATATTCGAAGGCAGAAAGGGAAGTACGGCCCCCAACTCGGAATTTTTTCTACTATTATGACTCCACTCCACTCCCCATGAGAATGACAATTTAGGGTATTTGATTGAGGATGTCGTCTAACTATTGGATATCATCGCAAGCATCCCTTGGCCTGATCTTATCTCTATATCTTCTATTTTTCCCATTAGAAGTGAGCCAATTTTTGCTACTTTGGCTAAGTCTGTAGTTTAGTTTGTTGATGGAAACGCCAGAAACACTTGTCCCTTGGTGATGGGAACGCCAGAAACACATGTCTCTTGGTAACCCTGTCAACAAAAACAAGCTTAACAAAAAAACTAGTAGTAGATGCTTGCACTTGTTAATTTATACTGTAATAGGAGTTACTGAAATTTTAGTAATGTTAATTTTACAATAAATGTTTTTTAATAAGAAAAATGAAAAACAAATAAGAAAGAATATGTCTCAAATATTCGAACTCTGTCATTATGGATTTATTTCACCTTTTTAATGAGTTGAACCAGTGAAGTTAAATAAATGACCCAAATGGTATTTTTTAACGAAAATCAAAGATTAAAAATATTGAAGGATTGAATTTTTTAATTAAATTTTTTTATTGTTAAAGTATGATATTAAATTAATATTTCATTATAATAATTAAATTAATTTAAAGTTGTTAAAAAGTGAAACTTAAATAAAAAATGATAAAATATATTGATGTTTATAAAAATTACTTATTAAATTAAAAAATTAATATAAATTTAGTATAAATTATAATAAATATATTAATTTAATAATAACACGTAAAATAATATATTTAATCATTCTATTATAACAGAGAATCTTATATTATTAAAATATTAAATAAAATTAAAAAAAAAATATATATATATATATATATATATATATAATTTATTATATTGATAAAAAATTTATAAATAAGATTAGTCTTTAATGTGTACAATTCCTTATAACAGACCTTTATAATATTTTTGCAACAAACATGATATCAATATATTCTACAAAAATTAATGTCCATTATAAGTTGAATTAGATTTGTGATTTGTTTATATTTCTTAGTCCTTATTGATACGTATATACATATTTTTTAAACCCTAATTATTTTAAAAATAAAATCATAATAGATTAAAATTTTAAAATAAACAATATGTTAAACATACAAATAAGTTATAATTATATTGTTAGTATAAGATAGACATATTCAGAATGAATTAAGAACATGTTGCTTAGGAGCTTTATGGGATATTAAACTTAATTTTTATTATTATCGGGTAACAAAAATGCACTTCTTCCACCATCTGGATGATTGAACCAACGTCAATGAAATTTGAAAATTTTCAGAAAACATGAATTTAAATCTCATTAAAAATAAATAAATATGTTTTAGTGATGGATTAAGAAGTTTCATAAATCTCATTGAATCAATAATACCACCACACCTTTAACAAGTTTCATATTTGTTATACAAAGAGCAAATTGTTAGAATTAATTTAATTAATTCATTCAATTATATGACTCATGTGAAATATAATAATGGGTCCAAATGTGATTTAATAAAATATGAGGACCTATTGGTTATTATGTGAAGTTAGAATAAAATAAAGATAAAATAAAATATTAACTTACGGTAACCAACTTGATGGACGTTGGTTAATTGAATGGAATAAGGGTTCTGTCTCTGGTCATAAAGTTTTTCACGGTAAAACATCAAGAAAGCGAAGCGTGAGAAGAAAAAGAAAGACAAAGAGATAGATTGGGAAAAAGGAGATTGGAGAACGAGAAGATTAAAGAATAGATTTTCATGGATCAAGGTTAGTTCTCTTATTATGATTCATGTATGTTATGTTGTGAAAATCAATAATCTAAAGATCCTGTAGAGTAGTTTTCCATAATGAATTAAGAACGTAGAAAAACTACATAATGTTTTACATGTGGTATCAGAGCCTGATTATTAGATTTATGATTTTCCTTTTATGAAAATATTTCTCAAATGATGTTTTTCCCAAATTAAGATAAACCCTAATTATGAATTTAGGAATTTCTCTATCAGATTAGTATGAACCCTAATTTATTCCCAATTTTATTTTTCTCAAAATTAAATAAAGGAATAAACCCTAATTATGTTTTCAAGTTCAAATTGAAACCAATTTTATAGTCCCTATGCATGAATGACCCTGTAATCCTTTCTAATTGAAAAGCAAATGACGTGATAGGGTTAGGATGAATCATGTATGAAATTAGTTTCATTGTATGTTATAATTATGATGAGATGTTATAATTATGATGAGATGTTATAATTATGATGGAAGAATGATAAACTGTAAAGTTGATAAACTTTGCACGTAGAGAGCACGTGTTAAACACATATGTTTCATATATTATATTATATTATTTATAATATTATTTTGTATATACATATTGGTGACTGGTGACTGCTAAAGCCATTTTCCCCTATATTATTTTGTCCCCATATTATTTGTACATTATTTTGTACGTACATATTTTTTTATGTGGGGGAAGGATAATTAAAGAGTTATTTTTATGTTAAAGTGAGTTGTATAATATACTCATACCTGTAGGTACGGTAAAACTTTGTTATAGGTACTATATTGTTATGGGTACTGTAAAACTTTGTTATGGGTACTATAAAGCTTTGTTATGGGTACTCGTAAATTTGTTAAGGTACTCGTAAAGCTTTGTTAAGGTTGTTAATGTACTTGTGAAACTTTGTTAAGGTTGTTAATATACTTGTTTTGTTAATGTACTCGTGAAGCTTTGTTAAGGTTGTTAATATAATGTTTTGTTAATGTACTGTGAAGCTTTGTTAATGTACCTATAATGTAAACATTGATAAATGAATGAATCTTGTTTTGCAAACTCAATTGTATTGTTTCCCTGTGTTTAAATTACTCATAAAAGTTTTGAATGGATGACAATTTCACTTTTACGTGAAATGCAAATAAAGGTCTTGGATTGAAAATCAATCTTAGGATGAAAATTGAAATTATGAGTTTCAATTTTATTCATGACACATAATATTTTATTATGTGAATAATATACATATTTATTAAAATTAATAAAAAAAATGCTATGAATGTTTAATAGCAATTAAAGATGTTATTTATTTGAAATTAAGCATGATAAATTTTGTTAGTCACCAAAGTGGCCACAATTTTAAGGTTATTTTGATTTCAAATTATTAATGATTTTATTTCAATTACCCATAATATGAACGCTAAAATTATGAATAATGATTTATGGGTTAATTGAAGTTCATTATTATAAGGCATTTCAGGATCACCCAAAGGTTGATTAGTTGTTATTATAATTAATGAACATGAAAGTAGATAATTTTGTGTGCGTCACTAGTTTTATTTATATACCCAAAGGTGTTAGGTGATTCTAGTTGATGCATATTTTAATTATCATTAAAGTTATAAATTGATTAGCGTAATTATGTTTGTGTATTAGTGGATCTCCCAAAGGAGAACATTAGTATGCATAGAATGGTTATTTATGTTTGAATCTGTATTTATATTTAGTTTTTATGACTCAAAGCGTTAATGTTAGACATGTGTTAATTGAAGTATTTGTTTATGTATTTCTACATTCGCTTACTTCGTCTGTTCCAGTCTTTAATAGATTAAATTCCCTGACTGGAGTGAGAAAGTCCAATTTCACTTAGGTGAGTTGGATTTTAATTTGGCTTTCCAAGTTGAAAAACCGGTTGCTATCACTGATGTCAGTAGTAATGAAGAGAAAACTCATTATAGAGCTTGGGAAAGATCAAACAGACTTAGCCTTATGTTTATGCGAATGAGTGTAGCAAGCAATATTAAGTGTGCTCTTCCCAAAACTGAGGATGCGAAAGAGTTTATGAAATTTGTGGAAGAGCGCTCTCAAACTGCTGACAAATCCCTCGCTGGGACATTGATTAGTACGTTGACCACCATGAAGTTTGATGGTTCTCGTAGTATGCATGAACACGTAATCGAAATGACAAATATCGCAGCAAGACTCAAGTCTCTTTGAATGGCAGTGGAAGAAACATTTCTTGTGCAGTTCATTTTGAATTCGTTACCGCCTGAGTATGGTCCGTTTCAGATGAATTATAACACCATGAAAGACAAATGGAATGTGCATGAATTGCACAGTATGTTAGTTCAGGAGGAGACCGAACTCAAGAACCTAGGAAGTCACTCTATTCATTACGTGAAAAAAAATCAAGGAGCTAAAAAGAAAGTTGTTAAGAAACATGGAAATGGTAAAGGACCATTAAAGATTAACGAGTCCTCTACTAACATTCAGAAGAAAAATGACAAATGTCATTTCTGCGGGAAGTCTGGACATTTTCAGAAGGACTGCCTAAAGCGTAAAGCTTGGTTCGAAAAGAAAGGTGAGCACAGTGCTTATGTATGTTTTGAATCAAATTTAACTGAAGTTCCCCATAATACTTGGTGGATTAATTCTGGATGTACGACTCATGTTTCTAATGTAATGCAAGGATTCCTTTCAACCCGAACCATAAACCCAAATGAGAAGTTCGTCTTCATGGGGAATAAAGTCAAGGTTCTAGTGGAAGCTGTCGGGACTTATCGTTTAATCCTTGACACTAGATATCACTTAGACCTTATGAATACTTTTTATGTAGCTAGTATCATTAAAAATTTAGTTTATTTGTCTAAGCTTGATGTTGTTGGATACTCTTTTAAGTTTGGGAATGGTTGTTTCAGTTTGTTTAAGCGTACTTCTATGATTTGATATGGTTAGGAGTATGTTAAGTAATTCATGTTTACCTGTATCATTGTGGATGTATGCTTTAAAGACTATCATGTATTTGTTGAACAGGGTTCCTAGTAAAGTTGTTCAAAAGATTTTTGAGTTATGGAAAAGTAGGAAACCTAGTTTGA